GGACAGGATAAAAGTTTAATACAGCTTAAGTGAGACAAGAATAACAGTCACATCTTGAGAAATGATTATAAAAATGGAAACGGTGTCAGTGGTATATAAAGCATGCAATTCTGTCATCATAACATTCCTTAACTTCATTTGAATCTAAAATGAAAAATTACAGGTAAATGTAGGCATGGAATATACAGGTAACTGAATAATTATGACTGTTATACAGTATCATTTCTGTATCAGAACCTCTACCATAGCAATGCAAGAAAAACATGTTAAAAGTAATGTTTGTTTTTTTATTGAGCAATACATCATTAAATTTAACTTTGACATTATTTGGACAAAATTATGTAATCGTAAGCTCTTAATGTCACATTATGTCAGTAATTGCCACGTGCTGTAATAATTTGTTTCTTATTATTCTTTAATGGAGTGTGATGATGTGTTGTGTTCAAAATAAAACATATTTTTGGTCCTGTCCTCTAATGTTTAATGAGACTTATATAAAAAGACTTTATATAAACAGTAAACTAGTGAGCGTAACACTCTTTCCACTAAAAAAAGTCTGTTTACAAGGTGTCTCTATACAGTACATACAATTGTCATTGCATGCACCTCAAATATTTAGAAAGCCTTTAGGAGCCCACACTATCAATATATTTGAAAAACACAGACCCAGGGCGAGTCAGCTGGAAAAAGTGACAAGGCCGTCACTACACAGGCTGAGTCAGAAGGTGGGGAGAGGTTTAATTGGGGAATTGACACTGTTTTGCGAAACGGGACTCCAAGCTGAATGACATCAGAGACAGAGATGATGTCAAGCCCATTTTCTTAAGCTGTATCACCTGCTTTTGCAGAAAAGGGGTTGGTTTTAACAAGTGGTCTAAATGCCACAGCCTGTTATCTGAAGGAAGTTATGTTCCACTCACATTAAAGAAGCATGTTAGATTCCAATAAGCAATTTACAGATAAGCCCTCAAGTTTGTGTAATATTTTATACGATTACATTGTAAGTCTCAGTACACTTAATAGACCGTTTACATTTTTTTTTCTGACTAGGGTTATCAATTTTTGCTGTGTATGTTTCAGTGTTTATTTTTTGTGCAAAAGTTCTTAGGTCTTTTTATGCTGTTATCTGAAAAAGAGTATTGAAAAACAACAATCTGTTCATGTGTATAAGATCACTTTTGCTTGTCATTCATTTATTTCCTTAACAACACGGTGAAGAAGTGACAGTAGAAGTTGTGAGTTTGCCATCCCCCCACGGGAACTGTGGGGTGGTCCCCCTGAATGCTGACCCTGCTGTGGGGTTTCCCACTGGGAGATGAAAGGGGAATGGAAGGGTTAGGGGCCATGTCTTTGTAGCATTTCATCACATCCTGCCATCTTGTCAGGCATCAAAGTGCTGCTTCTCCAACCTGCTGTTTAGTGACCAGGAATCTCCTCTCTGCAGTGAGGCAAAAGGGGGAAAAAAAAGTTATGCAAAGATGGAAAACGGCTTTGAAAACAGAAAGAAAGAAAAACAGGGAAAAGAAGATGATGAATACAGAGCACTGGTATTCTGGTGGTCCCTATTTTTATTGTCCTGTCACTTTTTATATGCAGTTTCTTAATAGCAAACCCCCAGCTGACTAAGCATGGCTGTCTGGTCACACTACATAAAGCATGGTATATACCTCAAATAAAATACTATAGTAAGGCTTGCCCTGCTGGTAAAATAAAACAAACTGTCTTCACTTTCACTAATTGGCCATTACCTTTGTTTTAATAAACTGCTGTTTCCATGTAACATTCTAATGTGGATTTGCGTGACTATAGCATACAGACACACAGAATGTATTGTATGCTGTTGAATGGAACCATGGAAACAGTGTGTGTATAATCTCAACTCTGAAGTGCCTTATGTTATTTTTTCAACTTTTTTCAATGAACAGCTTTTTCTGAGTGGCTTTCAGAATCCATAAAGATGCAGATTAAGTTTTCCTGATGTGTTTTTCTAGGATGGTGAACCAATCTAGGATGTTATGCTCCCTTTATATATTTTCATCCTACCCTCTAGTTATTTGAATAAAGGGTGTGCTCACAACAGCAGTCTCAGCATTCAAAGTGTAGTTTTATTGAGATCAGCTATTTGAGACTATAAGAGGTTCTTTGCTTTGTGCACTTTGAATTCCATAACTCCACTGAGAAAGGGCTTGCGTTTCTTGGTCATATTATAAATGTCTGCAGCCTCTCTTGGTTTACCCTGTTTTTGGACTCTGTGCAACTTCTCTCTGACATTCTTGAGCTTGGATCTAATATTGCTGTCCCATTCCAAATGACTGCCGCACCGCTTAATGTCCTGCACAGTACTGACTTCTCAAGACCTCACTATATTGAATTACTCTACTTATTTGCTGCACATGATTAGCCAAAAGCTCTGCTGAACAGAAGGGCTGAATCTTGCAGTAATCACCCACTCACTGGTGGAAACATGTTCTTCTTTTGTCCAGGGAGATTTTTTTTTTCTTAGCTGGAGGGATACATTAGTATTGAAGTGAGGCCAAATACATTTGGCATACCCATTTAAGAAGTGATCACACTTAAGTACAAAATAAAGTTTTACACATTGTTTATGCATCTTTGTATATAGTACATACAGTATACAGTATGACTCCCCAAAATCCTGCTTCCCCTGATTTGTAATAGACGTTCAGTGACTGTCTTAAGATAGAATTTACAGTACTAGGACCTTAGGGAACTGACAGTTCTTTCACATTGTGAGAGACTAAGGAAGATGTACTCTTCTTCAGAAGAGGGAACAAGACAGACAAAAATCAGTGACTATCCTTAGCCGCCATGCTCTATCCATTTTCTAGGTGCTTTATCCAGTTCAAGGTGGCAGGGGAGCCAGAACCTCACCTGGCACACACTCACCCCAGAGACAATTTTCTAAGAAGCCAATTAACCTACCAGCATTTCTTCAGACTGTTGGAGGCAAACCCAGGTGAACACAGGGAGAACAACAGTACAAACTCCACGCAGAGCGCACTCTGGGTGCAGAACTGAAACCAAGGCCCCAATGCAGCAGTGCTACCCACTTTGCCTCCATGTTGGCACCTGTCTTGTTTCTTAAAACGTAAGGTTTTTCTTTCTTTCAAAGAGTCCTTGTCTTTTTTTGTCTTTGTCTTTCAGGACATTAATAAAGATTTACTACCAGTCTACCTATTCCACATTAGTCTTGCAGCAGACAAAGATTTAAAGATGAGGAGGAGGAACGAATATTGTATTCACAAAGAAAAGTATATCCTGATTCCTTATTATGATTCCTTATTTTACAATGTGCACATTCGCATTCTGATGCAGAACTGAGATGTGAGTTAGTCATCAGTGTGCAAGTGAGTCTGTCTTCTAAAATGTCTTCTGAGAGTAAGTCGGGTTTTGCCTCCCTTTTGTGTCACAACATTTGGGTTAAGAAGGAAAGGGATGCATTTTCATCATGCTCTGCCCAACATCTGAAATGAAGGGCTGTTTGATTGCGATCCCATGTCTGAGGCAACGTCTGGAGAGATACATATTTATTGATCTTTCAAAAATTCCATTATAGAACGCAATATACTGTATCTATAAACAAGAAAATGAATACATAATGTTACTTATTTATGTGTTGGGTTTAAATCTGAGCTTAACCAAAAAGCCCTGTCTACATTCCTTATATTTTGGGGCAAACCAAGCCATTTTCTATTTGAACAGGATATGCACCTCACACAAAATATAATAGTAGCATTCCAATTGCCAGTGAAACTACACAAATTTTCCTTCCAACTTTGTATGGCTTAAAAATGCTAAATGATAGATACATTCACGTCATTTTAATTCCATGTATGTATTTCAAATGAATGTAGCTTTTTTTTAAAATGGACTTAAATCTGGAATAAAATAACTAGCTTCCTGTTTTGTTCTTTTTTTTAACTTTTTCTGGCTCTATTTTTAGAAGGCTGTGATGTCAGCAGATGCCATTACTTTTTCTTTTGCCTGTCAACAATACTTTCTTCAAAATCTGCTTTTATTGGTGTCATGCGGTTGATGACAAGGCACGTTATGGAAAAAAAAACAGAATAAATAACTTTATGTGATTCAAGTTCCTTGAGAAAAGAATAAGGCATTTGGCAATAAAACAAGACCTATTTTTCACTGGTATGTCTCACAATGCAGCCGCACAGGTTATATGAACTTGGTTTCCTTTTTCTTTCTATTTTTATGGACCATATTAACTGGTCTTGGCTCTTCCATATACTGAATTTTTATTTACTATCCCCAAAAGCAATCAGAAAGATTTTTATGTGTTTTTCCATAATTTGTATTTTGTATGAGTTGGATGGAGAAACTAAAATTAAGAAATTTATATGGTAAGGAAAGATAATGGGACATGTTTATTGAGCTAATGTGCTGGTGAATAAACATATGCCACATGACCATTTTGAAGTTCCAGCAGGGATAGGGTTGGGGAAAAACTGAAGCCATGTACTGTATCTAAATGCAGTTAGGGCTTTTTAGACTGAAACATCTATGGCTTTTCATGAAAATACCAAGGACAATGCCTCTTTTGACCCACCCTCCAACAAAATAACCACCATGAAATAACCAGCATGGACCGAGATGGACTGAACAAGTTATTTTATGATAATCCTTTTGATTTCCCTCTTTTCACACTGACAAATACACCAAGCATAAGTGTAAATTACATCGTCACGGATTCCACGGAGATGTTTCTAAGGTACTCCTCTCTGCAACTACTGAAACTGAAGTGGAATAATTTCCTGGAAAAACACATGTATGATATTGCCGTTATATTGGGATCCTGCGACCAATGCGATACGATCACCGAAGCATAGGACGCCATTTCTTTCCTTCGTCCACCTGCGGAGTCACTGTCCCTGCCTCGTGGTGCACGGAGGCAAGACTAGGCAAGATCAGCGGCAACCTCAAAAATGGACTCTCTCTACTGTGCCTGGAACCCACTCCATTGCCCCCTGGCTTCCCAGGACTGTTCACATTAGCACTACTAAGCACCCGCTCCGTGAACAGTAAGGCTCTTCTCATATGTGACTTTATTAAAGAACAAAACTTCACTTTCTGTGCTGAACAAAGAAAAAATGGCACAGACGAAATGATGGTCACCTGTTAGACCAACTAGGTCCAGTTTGTTTGACCTCCCTTGTCTCTCAGGCAGAGGTGGGGGCATTATTGTTATTTTTAATCTCCTTTACAGTTGAAATTCTGTTACTGTAGCTCTGCTCTCGTCTTTTGAGTGTTTTGTTTTAAATGTCTCCGTTTCCTGCTCTACCAAACCAATTGAAGCCTTTATAGGTGAGTTTGCCACTTTACCTTTATTTTTATGCCTCAGATTTAAGAGGATCCTTATTCTTGGTGGCTTTAATATACATATTGACTCATGGTCTTCCAATTTAGCTATGGATTTTCAAACTCTGTTAAGATGCTTTGATCTAACCCAGCTTGTTCTTAGCCCAACACATAACAAAGGACACACCCTTGATTTAATCATTGCAAATGTTTCTCACTTCTCTTCCCTTGAACTAGGCCTCTCTGACCAATTAGCTATTCTTTTTAATATGGAATTATTTGTTTCTAACACTTCCCAGTAACGCTCCTTAAATTTTCTCAACTGGCGAGCAGTCGATCAACCTTGGTTCACAAACTCTTATCTATCCTCCTTATCTTGTTTCTCTACCTCTGATCCTCTAGAGGACAAAATTGATTTTCTTAATAGCTATATCTGCTAGATCCAGCTACTTCTCATGCATCATTGAAAATAACCATAACAACCCTAGACACCTTTTCTCCAGCATCAACAGACTGCTAAAGACAAACTGGTTTAAAAGCCTGTCAGGCTTCATGTTGACCTCAAAATCGTGAAGCTCACCTACAGTATAAGGGTTTGCATAGCTTGGCACCTCAGTAGCTGTGTCAGCTACAGTCGTCCAATTCCCCACCTTGCAACCTTCACTATTCTAATTCTGGTCTCTATGGGTGGCAGGGTCTTCTTCTGTTATACCCCAAAGCTCTGGAACTCTCTCCTCAAGGATATCAGAGAGTCACTTTCCCTACACTCTATCAAATCTAAACTCAATCCTCTTCTTTAGAAGGGATTTCACTTAACTGGTTCTGAAGTATACACCTCTGCTCTTACTGTATTCAGTACCCCCATCTGCTGTCTCATTGTCTTCCATTGTGTATTTTCATTGTGCATATCTTGTGTCTTTTTATATTATTATTATTATTATTATTATTATTATTATTATTATTATTGTTGTTGTTGTTGTTGTTGTTGTTGTTGTTGTTGTTGTTGTTGTTGTTGTTGTTGTTGTTGTTGTTATTACAACCACATATCCTATTAGAGAGTCCCTCATTCTGGTGAGGCTCCCAGCATAAACCAATTACAAGAAATAAACAGAAATAAACTTTTGACAAATTTGACCTGCATCTGTCTGCTCATTCATAAGTATACACCTGGAATGCATCTGAGGTACATCAACAAGAGAAATGTCCAACAGGAGACATTCTTGTTTTGCCACCAAATGGCTCTGTGAGTTAACAGAGGCCTTGGGAATCTAAAGACCTTGGAAATCTTAATAAAAGAAAACTACTTATTCTAACAGCATGATTTGCATCATTGATATCAGATGTGTCTTATTTAGTATCATTACATCTGCTATAAATATTTTTATTGACTAAATCAGGAGTCATCTTGAACATATTTCACGTTGGCAAGTAGAGGTGTCTCCAAGAGGAAGAGTATGTTTCCATGAAATAGTCAGGAAAGATTTATAGTTTTCCCAAACCAATAACAAGAAAAGTTGGCAGAACATCAACAGGTTAAGGTCACCCCTGATTGGCTAGAAGGAAGTTAAATTAGAGAACTGAAACCCTACTAAATAAAGGGAGAATTTCTGTTCCTCTGTATCAATTATACAAACGCACACCTTAGCTTATTCTTCTTCCTAAAACTCAGAAGAGATTTTAGTGAAGTTTAATCAGAACAAAAGTTGCAAAATTAATATCATAGCAAGAGCTTGCATTTAGTGTAGTTGCTTGAAGATTGTCTATTCACTGTTTATTCCATCTTGCGATTTTCACCTTAAAATAATGTACAGTATCCCAAACTGCATTTATCAATATACAGTACTGTATATATTTTAATTTGAGCAAAATGTGTTTGCGTGGTTGTTTGGGTTTCCTCCCACAGTCCAAAGACATACTTTTTGGGCTTATGATGCATTGGCATCTCATCCAAGTTGTATTCTGCCCTGTGCTCATTGTTTGCTGGGATATGTTATGGTTCCCCTGTGACCCTGAGTTGGATCAAGTGGTAAGAAAATTGATGGAGGGAGTTTAAAAAAAGATGTCTGCAAACTAGTTATTTTATTCCATCAGAAAAATGCACCTGACATCCCAACATTCAAACCATGTCTAATTCAGACTTCTTACACTGTTTTCTTTGCCTTTTAAATAAATAGGGCTGTACAGTGAAGTTAACTCTTAAGTAAAGCAAGCAGCATGATAAGGGTCTTCCTGATTGATGCAGTGTGGCAAAGTGGTTAAGTAAAGAATTATTCATTATATCATCATCAGCTAGGTCCACCGATAAATGGTTTTAGTGGCATTGAGGAACTGATTCTTGGTACTGAATAAAATAACAGACTTAAATGTTCCTTGATTTATCTGAATTACAGATCTCATTCTATAAATCTAATACAGTTATTATATTGAATGTTTAACTGAATCACCTTATAATTTCATCTCTTTTTTCTTTATTCATAAGTACTTTTCAAAATGTATTTACTACCATTGATTTTGTCCAATGTGCATGACAGAACTAAAATATCATTTTATGCAACAATAAATACCTGTTCTGCCCTATCTTTGTCAAACACATTACTTTAGGTGATAAACTAATCGCATAGTGCTGTTATTATCTCATTGAATCACTTTTCTTACAAAAAGTGTCTGAATGGACCATTACAGAATTAAATAAAGAAAAGACTACAAGTGATTTTGAAGAAAGGGCTGTCCATTAGCATTATGTTTAATGGTGCTGAAATTCCGGTGTTTGTGAAAACTATACTACAACTCGCAAACGTCGGCCTGTTAATTTATTAACTTAGTAGTTAAATTTATTTTATGTACTTTGAAATAAAGATTGCTTTGTTTATGGCTCAGCAATGTATATTGTCATAAAGATACTCAATGCATAGCATGTAACTAAAGAATTTGCATGTACTGTATATGGACATTATAAAATGTAGGTGCAGTAAAAATTGTAAATATTTATCAAGTGTCAAATGAGATTAAAGTAAATTTTCCAACTTAACTGTAGTAGTATTTTCTTTATTTCTACTGCTACTAATAGCAAAGGTCTGACATTGTGTGCCACTTTTATGCAGTTTTAAAAAACAGAATCCCATGCTATTTTACCCTCTTTAAATTGCATTATTTCATCCTCATACTTTAAAATAAAGTGGTACCCTTCATTTGAAATATTAGGCTAGAATTATTTGGAGATTTTTAGGAGAAAAGTGCACCTGTCTAAAACAGCACTTATCAACCTTTATCTTGCTCAGAATAAAGAACCCTTATGTTATTACAACCCAACTGAAAAATGGGTCTTTGGTAACAGTAAACCTATGTCTGTCTTAAGCTGTTTAATTGAACTTAGTATGTAACTTTCTCTGTTGTCATTACAGTATGAGTGAGCCTTGTTTAAACATATCTTGTACCCATTTAAATATGGCAGTTATGTAATTTTGTTTCACAACAGCAATAAAGTAATAACTGAAATTAACCCACTTGCTAATACTGTATATCTTAACTTCTTTATTGTTACCTCTTCCATAAAAGAACTATAATAACAAAATGTCAAAGAACTTTGTACCTTTCAATTAACCTGATTAGTATCCAATTCTACCAATGCACAAAATGGTGGGTTTATTGAAGTCTGTCTTATGATCATTAAAGAGGAGCTGCAATGCTATTTATATATTTCAGGGTTAGAAAGAATAAGCATTGATGCATGCATTTCAAACCACAATGGAAGCAAAATGTACAAACTAATGTGTAAAGCCTCCAAGTACAGTACATCACAAAATAGCCAAAATTTCCAGGTACTGTATATGCAGTGCCATATTCTGCGATTCAATGAGGCAATAAAACATCTGGTGACATGAAGTGGCCCCATTACATTGTAAATAAGCAGGCTTGTGAAAACATCTCAGAAATATTACTCTCTTGGTTTGGTCGACAAATATTGCTTACTTGTTGCTCTGCATGCAGATCATGTTTGAACTTTTATTTTGCTGCACACCTTGCACTTACTGTATTCTCTCATACATCGCAATACATTAGTCATTACAAGGACTAGCGAGCAGGAAGGGGCACTTCATCCTCACAGTTCTCACAAGCTCTCTCTGGTGCTCTCGCCTATGACGAGACCAGCTTTTTGTGACAACATGGCGACTATACTTTCACAACGTTCGCGATTTTGTGCTTAATTCGGAAATTATAAAAGAAAGGTAGATAAAATAATGATGGTTTGACATTATTTGCAAGAATTATTATTGCATTATCTTTAATTATAATATAATTATATATAATTAATAATGGAGTAAATCAGTACATACCTTTTTTATACTTGCTATGAAAAGTTTACTGTAGGTGCTGGTGAACATCCAACAGCTATGTCACACAATACCTCTTGCCTGGTTAAGTAAAGATACAGATTGATTAATTCAGCCCTTCACTGAAAATTTCAAAAAATTTAAGAAAACAAAAAGAACAAGATTGTAACACTTTTTTTACATCTATTATGGTACAGCTGACTTCTGATTCACAGCTCATCTGCTTTCAAACACACAAGAACATGGATTTAGCACATATGAGATCCAAACAAGACAATGTGTTATTCACTTGTCAATTTTTTATATTTATTTATTTTTTTCTTTCTAAACACATTGAGAGCTTCCATCATAGGGCTATGGAATGTTATTATCAGCAAAGGTTTAGAAAGCTGTGTGCCACTGGTAGAAAAATAAAAACATGAAACACTTTAAACACATAGGGGTTCTGTTCTTGATGTTTGATTTTCCATCACTTTTGCTGCCAGAAGATGGATTGGTGTTCCATCTCTCTGTCCACGTACACATTTCAATCCTTCAACAGCCTGTGAGCCTCTCTAAATGGTCATGACCACTGGACTGAGTGCCTTGCCTCACAAGAGCTACTTGTAGGTATTAAAACAGTCCCAGGTTATTAGCTCTCTTGATTATTTGGTGAATTGAAGGCTATGTTCCAGATATACTCTTTTGCCTGCCAGCTCTACTCAGATTGCTTCAGAAAGGGGTGTGAAAAGGCAGTTGAATAAATAAACACAAATATTATCAAAATATGTCCCTATAATGGAACCATAAATCTCCTTTCTGACATGCCTAGCTTGGACGAAGCAGCAGATAATATATTTTAAACATGTTAAACTGACATGAATGTAAAGCTATGGGAAAATATATCCCCAGTGCTTATCTTCTTTGGAAATGTATTTAAATTATAACCTTTTATTTTCAAACAATAATTTAAGCAGGGTAAATATTGCATTTAATTGCTCTAATGGTTTACCTGATCTTAAAACTGAAAGAACAGAAGTCAGACCTGGAATAATCATTCCTTTCTGAATCACGACTCTTAGTCCTCTTGAAATTGTTTGACAATTCATACAGTCTACACATAATTCTCTTTATTTCTCAAATGAGTTACAGGTCTGTAGAGTGCTGGTCCAACCACAATGTTAATAACGTCACATACTTGCTGACCTTATTAAAACATTTCACTAGTAATGGAAACTTTTTTTTTCCTTTTTCTTTACTTGTTAACAGTGAGTGACTGTACGAATATATGAGTGATTCAAGACGTTATGGTCTGAAGTGGCCTGACAAATAAAAGGACTGAATTTCAGCTCCAGGAAGAATGCTGTTTCTCTCAGGTTACACTGTGTCTTGTTTCGGTACAGCATGCCACTGCTGTCTCTTATTTCCTGCCAGCATTTTTATGGAATAATGCGCTGGCCTTTCTTTTCAGCCTAAAATGCACAAAATAAATCTATCTGTATCACTTTATCTGTGTATGTAAGGCATTTATGGTGTCCATTTCTGTTTTTCTGATATGTCAGACATTTGCTTGACAGATTTTTTTTTGCAGAGACTTAAATATCCAGATAAATACTTCCTCTCAGTCTGATCTGAGAGGAGATTAACACAAGTGACATTGCATTCAATCATGGTACCACTATGGAGTGGAATGTAATTACAGTTCTTTTAACCAGTTCAGCATTATTTGCATCACACTGGCTGTAAAATCAGTCAATCAAAAATTTCCTTAGAAACATTTAGGAGGATTAAAGTTATTTTTTTCTATATCAAAACTCTGATTCATTTGCATGATGCTCTAGAACGGAATCAAGCCTTTAGTTCTTCATCCCCCAGCTCCCCTCCTTTGAGATCTGCTTGCTACAGTCATGCATTTTGGGACCAAAGCTGCTGTCAAACGCTTCCCTTACTACTACATGATTGTTAGCACCCTATAATGCGACCTTTCACTCCAAGCTATTAGTCATCTTGACAACAAACTTGTTATTCGCTGTTTCAGGGTTTCCTTCTGGTGTTGAAAGCGTGTATCTCTCTCTGGCTTTTCTGCAGAACACCAATCATTCCATGTGTTGCTTGTCCTATTTAGCAACACCAAGGGACAGGCACGAGAGGACGTTTTCATGCAAATAATCAATAAGTTACGTAGGAATTTCATCTTGTCTTGGTAGAAATATGCATTGACTTTACACTGACCATGATTCTAAACCTGCTTTTATTCTAAAATGATTCTAAAATGGGATAATGCTTTTTTCCCCACAGTTTCTTAATTAAATTGCTAATCTACAGGACCAAGTTAAAATATAATACACATTTTCTTCAAAAGTGTCTTACCTTAATCAATTAGAAATCTAATATTGCATTTAAAAAAAGCAAAATTGTGCAACCTGTGCAAATCATTTTTGTTCAACAGATTAGTCAAATAAATGCAGTGCAGCAACTAGGTTTTTCATTTCTGCTGATTCAAAATTAAAATATCACAAGAACTAATAGTTGAATATTACTCAGTTTCCCTGCAAGTGAAAAGCTACAGGTCTATCATTTGTTTCCCCAAACGCCAGCCAGTAATATTGCCACCTTTACATTTAGCACATAGGAAAAAGAGATACTGTATGTGGCACCAACTGTACTGTACTGACAAACATGACCATGAGAGAAGCACTGACTACTTTTCTTGTTCTTGTTGTTATATCTTGATCTAAAATCAAATTAAATAATTATGATTGAAATAATCTAGTCCATATCTAGCAGTTCTTGGTTTGTTTATTTTGCTGCACCACAAAGTAAAAGGAAGTAGCAAATTCATTCATGAGACTTCTGTTCTAAGTGTTCGTCAAGACCAATAGTTGATTACCTACACTACACAGTACCTAGAAAATCTTATCCACTATCAGAATGCTGTTTATTCTTCTGAGGGTTAAGATCTCAGATTGCAAGGCATTTCTGAGAGGTGATCTACCCCTGTACAAGATACTTGTCCATTTGCAGAGCCGTGCAGCACAAGGAGCAATCAAACCCAGCTAGCATGTCTTTGCAACATGTGGGCAAACTGGAGAACTTGGTGAAATCCCATGAGAATACCCGGTGGACCTATAAACTTCAGAAAAAATGCTAGAGGCCACTATCAACTATTTAGGACCCAGGAGCTGGAAGGCAGCAGTGTAATTTACCACAACCCCATGCCTTCCTCTCTTTATTCACAAGGAATGACAGGAGCCAAAGGTTGAGAGAAAGTAGAATAGTTTATTGAGATGCAAAGATTTGGCTTAACCCGCTTGACTGAGGGCCAACCTCCTGGCCTTTGGACAGGGAGAATAGGACCCCCATGCAACCAATTGGACAGGTGCAAAGGTGGAGAGGGGATGAGAGATTTAAGGAGGATGAGGGCTTAAGCAAGTGTGGAGGAGGCTCTTGCAAGTGGGGCGTTAGGAAAATCTATGGTAAGGAAATCATTGAGAAAGTGGATAAGAAAGGGAAGCTTGTAGTTATTTAAGAGGATGCAGCAGAGAGCTTCAGCTAAGGTGTCCAATCTTTTTGTGCTACTCTTGCATCTGAAAGTTAGGCAGACTGCAAAGAAGAACATATTCTGCCAACAAACTCCAAAGAGGTGCCAGAAGTCTGGGTCAAGACGCATCACCTTAACAGCATTAGAGATGTCAGCCTTAGCAATCCAGGCACCAGGACCAGCTTTTTTCATGAGTAAAACGGCATGGTCAATCGTGGCACAATGGAGGCAGACGTCGGAGCTGGGAATAAGACTATTGACGCTTGGCACGCGAGAGTTATGTGGAGCTGACGGGTCGATTATAAAGTCTTTTTTTAGCCAGAGTACTTACGGACCGCTATAACAATAGGATTGATACGGTATGAGGGAAACGGGGGAGAATCGAGTGGGCTGATCATGAAACCATTCTTGACTTCAGACACCAGCAAGGAATCAATGGACTGGGGATCGCTGGTAACAGATTGCAGGTTTCTGCAGATGATGGAGGAAGAGGAAAGTGTGCACAAGCCTGGTAAAAACCCAAAGGAAAGACCGTCAAGCAAGATGTAAGTGCAAAAGGGGTCAGGGAAGCAATTAATAATAATAATTATAATAATTATTGCTTATACTTATATAGTGCTTTTCTGGACACTCCACTCAAAGCTCTTTACAGGTAATGGAGACTCCCCTCCACCACCACCAATGTGCAGCCCCACCTGGATGAAGCAACAGCAGCCATAGTGCGCCAGAACGCTCACCACACAGCAGCTATCAGTGGGGAGGAGAGCAGAGTAATCAAGCGAATTCATAGATTATTAGGAGGCCATGACTGGTAAGGGCCAATTGGAAATTTGGCAAGGACACCAGGGTTACACCCCTACCCTTTTCGAGAAACGCCCTGGGATTACAAAGTCAGGACCTCGGTTTTACGTCTTATCCGAAGGATGGCGCCTGTTTACAGTATAGTGTCCCCGTCACTATACTGGGGCATTAAGACCCACATGGACCGCAGAGTGAGCAAGAGTGGGAATGTCAATTGGGGTAGACAAATGAGCCAATAGTCATTTGGGAACGTGGAAAGCAAAGTGAGCATCGAAGGGCCAGCGGGGGCACATGGAGTGAGCATGAGCTTTGCCGCAGAATTTGCAAATGTGAAGGAAGCGACGAGGAAGAGGTACAGGTCGAGGAAATAAAATGGTTACAGATTTTTTTTTATATCCAACCATCACAACAGGGCGACCACGACCGAGCAGGTTTGAAAAAGACCTGATGGGGAAAATTGGCGTTGTGGAGGAGAAGAGGCAGGGTCAGGGTTGAGCTTGCAGATGGCATCTGGGAAAAGGCTTGATGAATATGACTGGGAGGAACAGAAGTCGCAGCAGAGAGATCTGACGCCAGCGAATGTACTGGAAGAGGAACAGCTAGGTAGATCGGGCAGGAGATGGGACAACCTGCTGGCTGTGCTGAAGGTAGTTTGCTGGATGAACTCAGGGCCGTGGAGACAGCAGCAGGAGCCAAAAGAGAAGAAACCGAGGACGAAGGCACCAAGCAAGTGGAACCTGGGCCACATTGGACACCAGAGGTGAGTGCAGAAATAAAACTAAACAGAGAGGAAGAGGGTGGACCTGGCGCCTTAGACCAGCATGGACTTTAGAGAAGGAGGCTGGGTGGAAGAAGCTGGGTGCAGTTGCAGGTATGGATTGGTTGAGGAAGAGACACAGACAAACATATAGCAGGACAAGACACAAAGGAAGAAAACAGGCGGAGGCGCGGGCAGCCTTGGGGTCCTCAAATTAGGATGGAGAGTAGCGGCATGGGTGACGTCATCAGAGGCCGCCAGGGAATGCTGTAAAGCCGAGGTTTGCTTTTTGTAGACTGCAGATAGATACCGTGAAACCAGAGCTTTTTTTTGGAAGCTTTTCTTTTAAATCGGACACCATGTTTTCGGAGCGTTCTCTTAAGGCTTGCCACGGTTCAGTTGGCAATCTCAGGAGACGATCCAAGAAGGGGGAGCGGATATACGTTAACCGAGGTGGGGACGTCCCCGTGTGAGGCTGAGGCTGCGGCTGCATGGAGACTTTGCCGTAAAGGAACGAGAAGGCTGGATTTGTGATGAGGGAGGGACTACGACAGCAGAACACCATCTTCGGCGAGAAGATCAGCGGTGCTGATGTGACATGATGGTGATGAAAGCGACGGACGGTGGTAAGAAAAGCGGGGGGAACGGACCGGGTGAGGAGAGTAGGGGAGTCCTCTGTGCTGCTGAAAAGTTATTCGTCGGAGTAGGAAATTTGCAGATCCATGAGTAATCGAAACGCGAGTGTGAAAAGCATAGCTTTGTTCGATGCAAAAACAAGGAAGGGAGAAGAGAGGGTGACATTTGGTATATATGGAGACTGAGTGCTTACGTCAGAATTTGTGGGAATTGCACCAGCTGAGATTAAAGAGCTCGCCTGCCTTCATTCCTCCCGGACTTTCATTAAAAACTCCTTACCTTTGCTTACTGCCTTGTCTTTCTCACGCCTGAAGAAGGCTCCACGGCCGAAACGTTGTGTTTTCTTTCTTCTTTTTTTTCAGCATGGAATAAACCTATTACTTGTTCTATTTAATAAGTATGTCTTTTAGTTCCAAATCCGCTATGACAGACAGAGCAGAAAGGTACAGTACGAGTTAGTCAAACATTGTGAAAAATTACAAAATATACGCTACAACGCACAAAGGACTGTAAACGTCATATCAATACCTTTGAGTAAAGGGGAAAATTCTCTAATACAAAAAATATCCTTAGAAGACAATATAAGAAAGTTGGGAAGCTTCAAAACAAGGAAAGTGAAATAATTTCTCAAAGAGTGTTTTTAACACTTGATTTAAGACTTGATAGGTTATGAAACTTTGGATTGATCTTCTTTAAACATGTTCTCTACATCATTACAGTAAACCCACTATAAAACCACCCAGGTCATTAGTAAAAGATGGAGCAGGAGGCAGTCTCAACAATAAAGGCAATGCTTTGTGCGCCTGCAATTGCTTTGCAATTATGTACTACCTAACAAACTGTTTCCTGTTCTATTCCAAAGTGTAGTACATGAATAATAGTCACTAACTGGGACAAAGCATTTCCTTCAAAGACCCTATCACACATATTTTATCACACATATTTTACACACAATACTGTATGCACCAACATAAAATCGGGTAGAACAGAAATCATCTGTCTATCTGAATGCACAATTGGTAGTTCAGATACTAAGTAACTAAAATTGAATCAAGTAAGAAACTATATGTAATGTTTTTTAACACGGCAAAGCAAATAGTTAAGTGTTGCCAATTTTCCTTTTTCTTTAATATATAAGATTGCATTTTGCATAGACTGTGCAGACAGATGTTAGTAGATAGCTTTTTTGCATGTTTTTGTTCGTCTTTAAAATTACATTATTGCTTTTTTGAAAGGGAATGATTGTTTCGCATCTTCATCAAGAATAAAAAAAAATGCAAAGTATGAAATTTTAATTCTTTGGCTCACATTTTTTTTCTCTAGGCATTCAAGTACTGAAGCAGACAGTTTCTTGGAGTCACGAAAACCTAACAAAACCTGGGGACTAATCCAAGCTGGAAACATAAATGTGGAAGAGCTGTTTACATGCTTTTAACCAAGTTCTGTGTCCTCTGTTTGTTATAATTTAATCTGTGGGTTACACGGCCCATTTCCCCTGTTGAGGAATTTGAATTCCTGTGCATAATATGGATATACAAATGTGGTATTAGACAATTAAAAGAAGCAGTGCTGACACTTAGCATCATTTCATTATCAAGATGTGTCATAGAAACAAAAAAGGCCTAATGGATGGGAGAATGTGGAATCGGCAGTAGGGTAATGGTTATGGTTTGTATGGAGAGCAAATGAGGTGAGTCCATAAACTCACATGCATTGTTCCTCAGACCTCTGTTTACAACCACACATTTTATAAAGGGTTGGGATTTGAAACACATTCTTAGAATCAACTTGTGCAACCTCAGACTGGTTCCCTGTTTATTGCCCTGTTCCCTTTGAGATTTGTATCATTTTTGTGTGCTTTCCCTAAAAGGTGGGTTAGAATCAAATACATGTATTTTAAGCCGAGATAACATCATGTGCATTGTTTGCAAAGCAAATGGCAAAAAATATATATTTTTGATGGATATTTCACAGACATTTTGTGTCAAGAGAAATATGTTTTACAGCTTGTTTTGAGCTGAAATTGGCGCTGCAATGTGGGGTATCAGTAGTAATGTAACATTCTTTTGTCTATTGTCTCTTTTTGTTTCTGCAAGTATATTATAAATGTATTACTGATCATTTTTGGGTGAAGAATGATGACGCAATCACCATATTGAGTCCTTTTGCCTGATTTGTTGGCTGAATGCTGTAGAGATTAGGTTCATAAGGTTTAGTGAAGGGGCAATTCACCCCCAACAAAGCTACTGTATTCCAGAAAGGAAATGTACATTAATATTCAGGATCTTTGCTCACCGGAGTCCCATACAGGAATCTGTTTCTGATTACAAGGGACCAATGCAATGCTTATAGCTCCTGCTGTTGAGGCGCATGGGGCAGGAAACCTTAGGACCTATTAGTGGTTTCTTAAGGCCTGCAATCTCTTATTAGAATTGGCGCCGCTCCCTGAAAAAAGCATGCTTCTTTCTTTGGTTGACGTAGCCTCGCACTCTAAGGCAGCTGGCACAAGTAAACTTTCACACTCCTCTCATTGAACTACAGTTCATATTCACTTACAGATTTACATCTTCCCTGCCCTGCCCCTGAACATTTGGGGAAAAGGTACTGCTTTCGAATTTGTCAAAATGACATTTTTATTGCTCCTGTGGTTATTGTATTTTAGAGTTTCGGTTTCATAAAAATGTCGTTTATCTCTGCAATATTAGCATTATCATCATTGCAATTTTGAGTTAGGAGAAAAATGACCTTGGTGGGGAAAAAAAATGCGGTATACAAATACTAGACAAAAACACACTTTAGCCTGGCACAAGAACATACAGCTGGCTTATGAGCTAACCTCGGGAGATAGATGTGGTTATTGCATCAACATCCCAGTGTCCTATTCAGCTTCTTCATATCACAGTAAGGCGAATAACAATCATTTATCGCTGTTCTATTGCTGTGTGGCAGGTAACTGGTTTAGTCCAATACCTTCTCAGCTACCTTCTTTGTACTTCTAGTTTTTCCCCATGAAAACATGCTGAGCCTGCTTTATTCAAAGCATTTTACTGTCAGTGTGACACTATGACATTCCTGCATATAAAAATATAGTCCCATTTTCCAGTTTTCTGTTAAAAAAAAATACAGTCTAAAATGCAACAGACATGCATGGGTGTCAAAACGTTTATAATCTTGAAAATCCAGAGAAAAAGGGTGAGACGTGCTTCTCTTTTTCAACCAAAATTCAGGGTCCACTAAAACATTTAAAAGATGTTAGGCTGATGAAAAACACACAAAATCAAAAGTACTCACAGTGTAGTTAAAAAATGTTCAAGCAAAAAAATTAGAAAAAAAGATTTATGCTAATAAATTTGAATAAAAATTGAATATGTCTAAAGCTGAATACTTAAACTTAGTACTAGTACTACTAATACTAGATAATTTTATGTTTTATGTTAAGGGTTATGATTATACAAGAAGTTATTACTATATACACTGTATATTCTGTAGCATATGTGAGAATATAACCTAAATGCATTTTTCTGGAAACTAAAGCATTCTGTACCAGGTACAACAGCGTTAATAAGATCTTCAGATCGTTTTTCATAGCTATGAAAAGATTGTACATAGTAAAGGTTTGTGACTACTGTGTCTTCTGCTGTTAAATTCACAATTGGCTATTAGTTTTAACTAGCAAACTAACAGAAGAAAAGGCTGGTAAACCCATTACAATTTGTTATTCACGAAAAGCTCTTAAACCATTCAAATCTAAGGGGAGAAGTGATTAGAATATCAGTATAAATCATGGGATAATATATGTTGTTAATTTATAACTCACAGTTTTTTTAGCCTGCTTTTGTAAATGTCTAGAGGTGCCTGGCGAAGCTGAATTAAAAAACTCCAAGGTGTAATCAGCAATAAGAAAAGGGAAGTAAGATGTCATCATTTTATAAATTGCTTCCCCGGAGAAAGAAGATTTATAGTTTGAGAAACAACCCTCCAAGATTCTAGAGTCTAGAACTGGAAGTAAAAGGCTAAGTGCATGGTGTCACAAAAATATTATTAAAATCCCATCAACCCTTAAAGGAATATCACTGTTTCATGTTAGTTTTCAGTATGATACTGTATTAATCTCCTATTCTCCATTACGCTCCAGATTGTATGCATGACCAACTATTGGCAGTAACTTTCTTATGATGATCTGCATATTTCTTTAGGGAGCTACAGTAGACTGATACCATCCATGTTCCACTCTGGCATGTACCATTCAGTTTCTTATACAAAGGAATGCATCCCTAGAAAATCTTTGAATATCTGCCACAGCGGGCTGTGCTCAATAGATTTTCCACTAAGCAGTGTTGTCTTTATAGAGTGTGTAGATGTGGAAGACTTGAAATGTCTCATCACTTTTCCATATTAGATTGTCCCACTGATTAGATGATAATTAAACTGCAGGCTAGACACAGTTCCTTATCTTTTAAGTCTGAAGTCTTGTTCATGTTTTTCACTATCTGCTCTGTCTGCTTTTCAGGTCACCCAGGTACTTAAGCCTGTTCTTGCAGGAGACGTTAACATCCTTGTGTTCATATACAAGATGCCGTTCAAATCACGAACAGGCAATATATACATTTCAGCACAATGCAAGCTTCTTGATATTGGCTGTAGCTGTTGGGTTTGTTGTTATTTTACCATTGTATTCAGCTCCCAGCTTTTACCCAGGCATAAAAAAGGCATTTTGGACCCTGCCATAAATTCAATTGTAAATTGGCTTAGGCTTATATTTGTATTAAATGCTTTTCTTGATTTCGAGGAGCCAGCCGCTGAATCCTGTGTGCCTTTCCTGACTGAGTTAATTGGGCCTTAAGGTAGGTAAGGGATTTGAAGAGGTTTTTGCCAAGACACAGAAAAGACATTGAGCACTGAGGTAAATGGGCCATGACATGGCTATTCAATGTATCTTTTTTATTAGGGTAAACTTTGAAATGTTGAAAATGGTACCGTTTCAACTGAACCCTTAAAAGACTCTTAAGCATTTGGAAATCAACTTTCTGTACAGAACGCTTGTCTTGTAAATGGATTATTTACACTCCCAGAAAGTAATTGATTTTATTACCGTAGCTTCAAATTTGATGGTTAACTGAATTACAATTTTATTAATTAACTGCGTATTGCCTAACACCACAATGTTCTAAATAGGAATGAATATGAAGTATAGCGTCAAATCCTACGTACAGTATACATTTGCATAAAATGTACAGATGTTTCTCTTGCTATAGGTCATGTAAATATTTTGTAAGTATGTAATTAAAAACATTTAACTAGGAATATAAGCTTAATTAGAAAAACGTATAGCGATTTTTAAATACTGGTTAGTTATTATTTAGTGATTACATTGTAATTAGCAATTAGATTACTGGTTATAGTGTAGTAGTATTTCAAGCTTTATTTCATTGTAATTTTAATAGAAGCACATCCAACATCGTGAAATAATTCAGCTACATTCACTTTGTGTCAGGTAATGAGAGAAGGAAAGTTATTTAGGAAAAACATATAGAAGTGTAAGAAAAAAGCCCTAGTGTCTGCACTAATGCTCTCAATCTCTGTGGTGATGTTTTTTTCTTGGCTTTACAAATGACATCACTTAGATTGAAATAAACCTTTGCAAAATATAATTTATTAAACCATGGGGCAAGCTTAAGTTCAGAACTCAATTGCTCTTCAACCCTAAACAGCAATCATTAAATTATTGCAAATCCAGAACTTTATTTTCAGGTAAATTATTAGTTAGTAGATGTCGGGGTGTATGCATCAAATGGCAATATCACCCTGGGGGTAGTGGCTGAAGTGGAAAATGGTATGTATTTCATATTTATGGAAATTACACAGGAAAGTGGCCCCAGCTGAATTGCAATTCAACAATGCCATACAAGCACTGCCCATGATCTGTCTAACAGCTGGGGGAGCCATTGTAGGCCTGTGATTCACATCAAAGAGCAGAATCAAGTATTCAAAACGAAAGCAGGGTAGGCATGCCCTGAGAAAGACAGGCCTTCTGGGGTCATTTCTAGGAAATGGTGCTGATGAAGGACAGTTTGACGAGCTCCTGTCTGTTATCAGGACCTTTAGGAGTTTGAGGTGAACAAGAGTATAAAGGTGTATAAAACACACTTGCTGTAGGATCTGAATAAGACCTGACATATTTTACATACATATTTAATATAACATTCTAGTTTACATGGTGTAAATATTGCCTGTTATATTTATTTAGGACCAGAGGATAACAAGTTCCTCTCTTAAAAAAAAAAAGAAGATATTTTATGATTTCGCAAAGCCTAACTACTGTATCATTTTTTTTTTTCTGAGCGCACAAAAAGGCCTTTTTATGCTTCGCGGAGTGCTTAAATCGGTAAATCAAAAGGTTAGAGTTATTTAAAACACCACAAGGACTAAATGGTTTAAAACAATACCTGGTTTTGGCTCGGGCCATGATGGTTCCAAACTCTATGATGCTTCAAGCAGTTTACAATAAAGTTAACTGCAGGAATTGGTGGCCAACAATTTAAACAGGGTGCTGTGCCAGTCTGATTTCATTGTCTAGCAGTTTTACAAACAGTTTTACTCAGGTTGTGAGCACTAAATCTATCAAATTATACTAATGGAATGTAATATTTTGGTTTATTTTTTTAATTCTGTTTAATCACTATATTGAATATTTGTCTGTATTGTGGGTATTCTATGAGTCTTGCATTTTTCTGTTGGATTAAGCATTTATGATTTACATATGCTTGAAATGATGGTGTTAGAGGAAGAGGAAAAAAATAAATATGTAAAATGTACAAACAATGTAATTGAAATTTACTTTATATTTGTAATTTTCTTTTGTAAGACATAAACTCATAACAACAGAAAGAAAACTATTTGCTGGTCTGTGAAACTAATTCCATTTTTTTTATATATATAAAATATTGTGAATTAAAAAAACATAGTGATGGAAAAGTATAAAATTATACAGGCATGACTAAACAGCTGAGGTTGTAGGGCTGCCAATATATATATTAATCTGTTTTTTTTCCCTAGCTTTTCCTGACAGTTTGAAAAGGTGATTCAATTGATGACTAATCAAGGAAACTGTTATCGTCTGAATCTGCGATGTTAGGATCACTGCGTTTGAGCCAAGGAAACAGTATCCCCTCAGCAAGCTTAGAACGAAGTGGCATTTTGTGTCCACAGATCTTAGATAAAGCCTGGTCCGGAATATCCTGACCAATCTTAAGTGATGTTAAGATTGATGACTGGGTGGTCCTCTTCCAATTTCTCAAATTGTTATTGCACAATGTCAACAGTTACTCACTTAATATATATAGTCAGCCATGAAGAGAAGCTTTGACTTCATATTGGCTCAAGGCAAGCTTCTGTGCTGTGGTGAGACAAGGCTGTGAAGGTTTACCTGAGCCTTACTAAGGGGGTAACAGGGAATATTACATTCCTTTTCTACAGTACACATTTTTTGTTTTTTCTTTATCTGAGAACTGTTAGTATGCAGGAATGTTTAATATTCTTCATTACTTGCTATTTTTTTTTTTAAAGTCTTGGAAAAATTTGATGAATGATTTATTTATGTAGGACCTTTATTATTTATTACAGTAATGTAGGGCCTAGTTAAGGTTAAAAACACAAAGTTCTGCGATAATCTGTACCTTTGAAACATTCCTTGAAGAATTAATTCAGACATTGGCTCCACTGTCCTAGTTTATTATAATTAACAGTTACAGAATATGAGAAAAGCCATACTTTCAAAAGTAAAATGTTTAAATGACTGTGAATGTCAGGGGATGGGAAAGAGATGATTATGGTGTTTACAGTTTGTCTTGGATTCACTTTGAAATGCCACACATTCTCCTCACGGGGGTTACCTTGTCTGATAATCATTGCCCCTGACAGTTTTTGGTATTAATAACAAATTTGTTCTGACCCAGACACAGCTGGCAATCAACCCGTGCCTTTCACCTTTGACCTCTAGCAATATGGCTGGCATCTTTCTCAATTATCAGCAATTGGTTAGAATTATTTTTTCAGAGTGAAATTGCTCAGCTGCGAGAAAATACAAAAGCTGCAATAAAATTTAAATGT